TTGCTTGTTGACAGTTCGGGACCCCATCCAAGTGGCTTTGCTTGGCATGTTTTACTGCTAAGTAGCGTGTTTTTATTTTTATTTTTTATCTTACATATATATATATATATATATATATATATATATATATATATATATATATATATATATATATATATATATATATATATATATATATATATATATATATATATATATATATATATATATATATATATATATATATATATATATATATATATATATATATATATATATATATATATATATATATATATATATATATATATATATATATATATATATATATATATATATATATATATATATATATATATATATATATATATATATATATATATATATATATATATATATATATATATATATATATATATATATATATATATATATATATATATATATTGTTTAGTGCAAAGTAAGTTTGGGATACAGAAAGGAGAAGTAACAGGATAGATTTTCCGTTTCCAAAATACTCCTTCTCTTTCATTTTAAATCCCATGCTACCATAGTGGTGCATTATACAAAAGTTTTCCAAAATACCAAATAAGAACATAGAAGGAGCTCATGTCCAAAATGAAAAGAAACACGATAACGAAAGTGCAAGACGTAGGATTAACTTAGCAGTCGTAAGGTTTAAGCCACTTTCTGTTGATAGGATCCGTTAGCGTGCCTTCTTTGACAGAAACCAAGCGATAATAGCCGCTGTTGTGGACTTCTTTGACTGCAAACGGCCCTTCCCATTGCGGGGCAAACTTGGAAGGTCCCGATATTTGCCTTCTCACATGCTCGACAACTTTTAGCACGAGGTCTCCTTGCTTGAAGGCTTGAGGCTTGATTGTCCTGTTGTAGGATTGGACAACGGTTTTGTGGTAAAGTGCTGTTCTCCTTTCGGCTTCCGCTCTTTTCTCATCCAAAGCCTCGATGTCTAACAAGTGCCACTGTTGGCTGCGCAAATCTCACGCCCTGGTGCTCTGGGCCGAGGGGATGTGCGTTAACACGTGGCTTCCTGCTTTTGGATGCGGTGCGGTTGTGCACGGGCGTGCCAGCACGGTCTACCGTGCGTCGAGTTGTTGATGTGGATAGAATGGTCAAGTGGTGCGCCTGTTTGAACTCGTCTTCTAATCAAACGATTGTAGCCGAGAGAGGAACTGATCTCGGCTGTTGGGTTCACGGCCTGAGCTACAAGGCCGTTTAGGGGTGGTGAAAATGGGGGGTTTTTGGGCGGTGCTCCGGCACGCTGCTCAGGGAGCGACGGTCGTATGATATATGGGGTGAATGAGATGGTAACAGGGATGATGCTCCGGCGCCTTGAAAATCAAGGGTCGTATGATATATTGATGAATGGATTTTCTTTAAAATCTAACGCTACTCCTAGGAAAGCAAGTAAAGATATTGAAAGTGCATTAGAGGAAAATATAATTTGCTTCGTGGGAGGCTTTTGTTTGGTGTTTGAACCCTTTAAATGTAGCTTGAGTTTTGTATTTATAGGAAGAGTTCTTGGAGGAGTAATCGAGGCTGAAAATCTGCATAGTGGAGCCTGATTAGAGCAAGTGGGTAGTCCAATCGACATTTGGGATTGTGAAGTATGGTGGTGTGACCCCATAAATCCTGGTAAATCTTCGGCCGCCGCCCTGATCGTGGGTTTTGTGCTTCTGGCCGTGGGGACGCATTTATTGCTCTGATAGCTGGTGACCTAATCTCTTAAGCTGCAAGAGTTCTTGTGAGAATGTTTGTGTCTAATCACTCTGATTCCCATCACCAAATCCTGACTTCAGTCACTTCCCACCTTCCCTCGTGCATTAAATGTTTATTCGTGGCCAGTGGGTTTGCTGCATTAAACAGAGGCATTACTTCATTAAATGAAGCGTGGGACCCTGTTGCCATGTGACGATGTGACCTTAACACCTTTGGCCATGATTTTGTTCGGCTTCGGCCTTGGCCTATAATCGAGGCCGAGATTATCATGCCTTAGCAATTTTTCTTTTGTTTTCAGGAAGGCCAAACATCTTGGCGAAACGCCGCGTTTTAGCTCCTCGAGCAAGTGCTAGGGCCGAGACAAAGGGCTCCTTCGGTCAGTTTATGGCCGTGATTTATTAGGCACAAACAGCCACTCCGAGCATGTCTTGGCATCCCATTCAAGGTCGTTAACAGCTGATACCCTAGCAGTGGGGATAGTGATCTCGACGGGCGATATGACATCGGACCCGTATACAAGCGAATAGGGCGAGAAGCTCATGTCACTTCTTGGAGAGGTGCGGTAAGCCCATAAGGCATCCGGCAGGTGGACACTCCAGCCTCCATACTCATACACCATTTTGCTTAGAATTCTCAACAAAGTTTTATTTATGGCCTTCGCTTGACCATTTCCTTGCGGGTAATATGGCGTGGAGGGACGATGCTTGATACCATAGCCACTAAGTGTCGAGCTTACTTGCTTGTTAACAAACAAAGTGCCATTATCAGTGACAATCTTGTATGGGATTCCAAACCTGCACACGATGTACTCACGAATGAAATTTGAAATGGCAGCCCCCATGGCCTTCCGAAGAGGGATGACTTCGACCCACTTTGTGAAATACTCAGTGGCTGTGAGGATCCATATATAGCCGTCGGAAGGTGGATGGATAGTCCCGATCAAGTCAAGCGCCCAAGTATGAAAAGGCCAAGGAGTGCGCATGTCCTGTAATAACGTGGGAGGCTTGTGACTTATATTGGCATGGACTTGGCACGTATGGCATTTCTTCACGAAATTGTATGCATCATTCTTCATGGTAGGCCAGTAATACCCAACATTCAGCAGCTGCCGATAGAGCCTCTTCATCCCTTGGTGTTCACCACATTCTCCAGCATGAATTTCCTGCATCACTTGCTGCGCTTCCGTTTCTCCTAAGCATTTTAATGGTTCACCATTAAACCCTTTGCGATAGAGAGTGGAACCGTCTATGAAGTATCTCTTTAGTGTCTTTTTGAGCTTGTAAGCATGCTTGGTGCTGCTTGGTAGAATTCCCTCAATAAAAAATGCTAAATACGGCACCCTCTAATCTCCAACGAATGAAACGGTGAAGGATTCTTTGGTGGGGGGTATTGTTGAACACTTGGGACAATTGGCTTGAATTTCAGTTGCTTGTTTCTTCATTTTTGGCCAATAATAACCCTTGCGTTGCAGGCGTCGATATAAGCTGACTACCGGCTCCAAATTGCAAGTGACTTCATGTACCTCTTGGAGCCTTCTCCGTGCTTCTGTCATTCCTAAGCAGCGGGTCAAAATACTTCATGGCAGGCATCTGTAAAGCTCCCTGAAGATAATTGCATAGTCCTTCAAGTCTTTGATGTCACTTCCCTTGCTCAACTTTTCCTGGCAGGGATCTGTAGAAGAACCATCAAAGTAGAAGGTCCATGGTTCTTCCTTTGTAACAACAGCTGCCATTTCCGGCAGCTCTCCCAGAACCTCTTCAGAAAGAATTGATTCTTCTACATCGGGAAATAGAGCCAGCATGTCAATCACGGCCTGTCCTTTGATAGCCCTAGGAGTTGTGCATGTGATATCAAATTCGGACAGTTGTAATAGCCAACGTGCAAGACGTCCAGATAGCACCGGTCTTGTGAGCAAGTACCTTACGACCCTGTTTGGTGGGCAGGACTGGATGGGATATTTTCAATTAAAATGGACATGGATCCAAACCATTGTTTGGTGGGCTTAAATGTATCTTAGACTGGATATGGACCTTTGGATCCAAGTCCTAAATAACTAAGGTTATGAAACCCAAGCCCAGACGTGGGTTTAGAAGCCGCGTCGTCTTGCTCGAGCGAGCGCCTCCTCTGGTTTGACGCCTCCTCTTTGAGAATTGCAGCAACAGCGGCGTCGCGCAGACCAAGGCATGGAGGAACTGCAACAAGAGGGCGTCGCGCAAATCGTCGCCGCTTCCCATCAATCTGGCCAAGCTTTTCCATTATAAGAATCGCTTTGCGTATGCTCTCTCTCTCTCTCTCTGTTTGTTTCCTGAGAAACAATTGCTATGATATGACCAAAAAAAAAAAAACAATTGCTATGAAAAGACAATCTAAAGGAAACATTGAGTTGAGATATATTTTTGTTTTCATTTCTTGTGATTTCTCAGCAGTTCAGTATCATATCTCAACGCAAATAATATATTTCTTCTGTTTTGTTTTTGTAAATGAAATATTTTGCATGTCATTGTTTGTGTCGATTTTGTGAAAATTATGATTGTTCTTGGATATGCGAATTGGGTAGATTTGTATGCATTATTATAATTTTTAAACATTTATTTGTAATTTTTTTATTCTGCAAATTTTGTATCAGTCCAGAGAATCTCAACTTGGTGTTACTGCACCAAACAACTGCTTAAAATCCAGTCATATCCCAACCAGTCCAGTCTAGTAAAGAAAGGTTAATCCAATCCAGTCCAGTCTAGCCTACCAAACGGGGCCTACGGGGTTAGACTTTACTATGAGCTGTAGCTTATGAACGAGAAAGTAATGATGCAAGCGCTGCGCAGAATAGACAAGGGCAAGGCACAAGAGCTCGGTCTTTGGATATCTTGTTTCAGTTCCCCTTAATTGCCTGCTCACATAGTGAATAGGGCTTTCCTCCCCACCGTGGTTGTCTTGGGCAAGCAAGGCCCCAACCGCTGCGTTCGTTGCAACCAAATAAAGTTTGGGTGGAAGTCCTAGAATGGGCGCTCTCATGGTGGGCAGCTTGGTGATTATTTGTTGCACTTGCAGATAGGCCTTTTGACACTCCTTGCTCCATTCATACGGCTTGCCCTTCTTGAGTAAGGGAGTAAAAACACTCATTGTGGCAGCAAGGCCTGGGATCTTCCCATGAAGCTTTTCAATTCCTTTGGATTTCTAGGCGGTGCAAGAGAGTTTATGGCTCTAGTTTTTTCAGGATCCACATCTATGCCACGTTGGTGTACTTGAAACCCCAAGAATTTACCGGATGAAACCCCGAACGCTCATTTCTTTGGGTTCATCTTTAATCCGTACAGCCGGCACCTTTCCAGCACCTTCCTTAACACCTCTTGATGGCCTTCTCTAGTTTTTGACTTCACCACAAGATCATCCATATAGTCTTTGACTTCCTTCCCCATCATGTCATGGAACACAGCTGTCATAGCCCTTTGGTAAGTGGCTCCGGCATTTTTAAGGCCAAACGGCATGACCGTGTAGTAGAAATTCCCGTATGGCATTCGAAAAGCTGTCTTTTCAGCATCTTTGGGTGACATCTTTATCTGATTGTAGCCACTAAAACCATCCATGAATGACAACAAACCTGGCCCCGAGGTTGAGTCGATCAAAATATCCATGTTGGGTAGCGGGAGCTCATCCTGCGGGCATGCTCGGTTGAGGTCCCGATAGTCCGTGCACACTCTAATTACAGCGGTCTTCTTTTTCACAGGGACAATATTTGCTAGCCACGTTGGATGCTTGATTGGTTTGATGAACCCAGCAGCTAGTAGTTTTTCAACTTCCACTTTGATTTGTTTTTCAATTTCAGGATGGAAATTCCTTCTTGGCTGCACAACAGGTTTTGTACCAAGCTCAATATTCAAAGTATGACTTACTTAGTTTGGATTTAGGCCAGGCATTTCCTTGTAGCTCCAAGCGAAGAGGTCAAGGCTTCCTTCTCTTGGTTTGCTAGGTGCACGTTGATGGAGATGAGGTTTTGGACAGATGGGTCATCACTCAAATTGATCATTTCCAGCTGCTCAACAACTGCCATTGAACCATCTTACATGTGCCTTGGTGCCGTCATAGGCTCCTGGAAAGCGCAAGGCATGGGTGCTTCGCCATCTGGACCTTTGTGGCCGTCCGTCTATATCACTTCTCCTCCATACTTGGGGCTTTCCCGTAGAATACGGTCGAGCCCCCGAACCTGTCATAATCGATATACTGTGCGTCCATCGGGCAACGTCACTTTTGAGCATTGCGGTGGATCATAAGCATGGTTGCTGACCTCCGAGTATCTCTTCCTTTCTCGATCAACAATTGTTATGAGTTCCTCTTTGCTAAGATCACGGACTTCAGTCCAAGAGGGTAGGTGAGTTCCAAAAGCCTTAGATGGGTTGCTTCCAGCACCTGTGCATTCGGTGTAGAACTCCGCCTCTGAATAATGGGCTTCGTTTTGGTTGAACGGTGCTTGATTCCCTAGTATGCGAAGTGGTCTCAGCCCAATCCTCCCCTTCACGCATTGGTGGTAAGTAGAAACCACGAGTTTGTGTTTGTTGAGCCATGGCTTCCCAAGTAAAGCATGATAAGCTACATCCACATCTACCACGTAGAACTTGGTAAGTGACCGGATCGGCCCCACCTTCAAGTTTACCTGTATGTAGCCAATGGTGACCTCGCTTTTATTCCCGAATCCACTGATACTTGTTTGGGACTGCACAAGTTTGGATAATGGGATGCCAGTTGGTGCAAGCACAGATAGAGGCAATATGTTGACAGAAGAGCCCGTATCCACCAAAGCTCTCCTTATAAACACATCGTTGATTTGTCCCTCCAAGTAAAGTGGCCTCCTATGATCCGGGTATGGGACCTCCATGTCTTCATCCATGAAGACAATAACATTGTCATTCTCCAAGAACGATCTCTGTGGTTGGGCAGCGAAGCAATGAGGATTAGACTCTGCAGAGATATTTATGAGAGCTACAACAGTTGCTTCCCTTGCTTGTGGTCCAAAGCCAAGTTGGTCAAAGAGTGACTTGAACTTTGGATTCCTTTGGAGGACTTGTGAGGCTGTGGGTACCTGCTTCAGACCTAGGTAACGCTCCATCACACTTGTTTCGGCCTCCGTAAGATTGTGAAACGTTACAGCAGCGGTTTCCTGCTGCACAGACGAGGCTCCCAAGTAGCATCCTTCCGGCATATTCATCGAGAATACTTCATTACCTGTGCTATCATCCCATCCATCAACAAGTGTCCATGGGGTATTATAGCTTGAAGGTTTCGAATATTTGCACTAGTAAGCCTTCTCCATATTTCCACAAGTTTCCCAAATAGCCTTCGGTGGCTTTGGGTCATTCCTCAATGGGCGGCACAACTTGTTATCGTCGAGCAAGTCGCCGGAGCATGTGATGACAGCGGCTATCTCTTTTCCCCTTCGTTTTGGCAAGGGATCATCATCAATGGCTTGCTTCCTAGAGGGAAGCTCAAGGACTCCTTCATGTATCTTAGCATGTAAGATCCTCCTTAAAGTTTGGCAGGCAGTGGTTGGATGCCCCACAAATTGGTGGTAACGGAAATACCTAGGATCATTCCTTTCTTCTCTAGTAGGAACCTTGTAGGGTCTAAGAGGTTTGATTGCACCGTTAGCAATCATGGTGTCAAGGATAGCGTGGAATTCTTCATCTTTGCCTGGTAACGGTGGATATGTCTCTATCCTTTCCTTTGCGTGAGTTGTAATCATCGGATGGCTTGTCATCCACAGCCAATGTTTGATGCGCCTCCTTCTTCTCACTCCTCCAACTTCTTTGCCCAGCTGGTTTGATAGACATACTTGTCTTTCTTACTTCTTCCAACAGCCGAGAAAATTGACTGATGCCAATGTTTTCCAAATAAACTCTATAATCTGTCACGATGTTGCTGATGCAAATTTAGACCTACGCCTCCTCATCCTTCTCATCATAGCAGTCTAAGGCTAGGTCCCCGTAACCTGCGTACAAAGTCCACGGGATCCTCCCCATGTTTTTGGCTAGTGTTGTTGAGTTGAGTGGTCGTAACTCTCTCCTCATGCTGGAAATACTTCTTGCAGAACCTGCTTGCCAAATCTTCCCACGAACGAACAGAGCCTGGTGCCAGCATCGTGTACCATGTATAAGCACGGTCGGTAAGGCTCTTTGAGAACTCACAGAGTCGGAGATTATGGTTGCCAGCATGTGGTCCTAAGGCATCAAGGAAATGGTTGACGTGCTCATTCGGGCTCCCTTTCCTCCCATCGAAGAGGACAAAGCTTGATGGATACGGTGGTTGAGGAATATACTTCCAATCCTCCTGGCTTCGGCTTAGTTCTTTTTCCAGCATAGCGATGACATCCTCTTGGGTGACAAAAGATGGTCCCTTTTGTTTAGACCCCTTTCCAGCAGCAGCAGACTCCTCTTGCAGGTGTCTCTCGTTTTCTTCGCTTGGCTTGGAGACTGAGCTTTTCAACTCCTTGATCGTGTCTGCCATCTCCTTATGAGTTTCTCCCATGGCATGGATGGCAGCAATGAGGTATGAGAGGGTGAAAGCTCCCTCACTTGCATGTTCTTCCTCTCTAGAAGATGCATTTTGCCTTGATTCCGAATCACCATGGTTTGGCCCATCTTGGGAAGTCATGTTATTGCTTCTTGTCTTCTTCTTTGGAGGCATTAGTGCAGATAATGGCCTAATCCCCAGCAAAGTCGCCAATTTATGTAAGGGTCTTTTTCTTCTGGCAGCTACAAATGGGCTGGGCCGCCGTAAGGAGCGATTTGGTGGAATTACCCCCTTGTGTATGAGTTCGAAGATTAAGCCCCAAGAATGCTTCAAAAGGGTAGTAAAGCCTTAGGAAACACCTCGGTTACCTTCACCAATGAAAATAACAATAACTTACAGATAGATTTTCTAGCTTGGCATGAAAGGCTTGTAGCATGAAAGCAAAATTGTCATGAGTTTAGCACTAAAGAGAAAGCTATGTGTTTCTGGGAAAAAGGGGAGGTATTAAGGTAGAAGAGAAGGAGTTTGTAGGAGGGTTTGGTGGAGAGAGATGGGAATGGGTGGCTTAAGTGTTTTTCTGGCAGCTTGACAGAGGCTCTGTCAAGTGTTATGACAATCTGCCAAAAGGGAGAAAATGAGGGAGAAGGGTGAGTAGAGCACGAATTTGCTGAGTTTTGCAGGTAAGAGAGGAAGCTTGCTCTAGGTTTTGCAGGTGAGAGAGGAAGCTTGCTCTCCAGATGTGGATGATGCTTGCTGGGTTGAAGAGGTCTCATTTTATAGCCGCTGGAAGCTGTCATTTCCCAAGAAACCCTAATTGGTTCAATCCAATTTGGCCGAGCTCTTCCCCTCCTTTCTCCTCCCCTCTTTTGACTTATCTTATCTTGGAAAAATCTCCTCTGTCCAATCTCACAAAATCAGGGATTTTGGGAGCTCAATGCTCTTCCCGCAGCTGCCACAGGGGAGAACTTCTTATTTCTAGCTATCTCCTTTCCTTCTTTCCTTCCTTCTTCTGTGGCCAGATCTGATGAGGGAAAGAAATGGGTATGCATGCTGGTTCAAAGGGTGATTTCCCTCCTAGCAGTCTGCGCGCCAAGGTCCCTGGGTCTTTTGGATGTCTTTGCTTGAAACTTGTTCCTTTTCTATGTGTTGGAGATTCCCAGCAGCTCTGCACATGTGGTCCTCCCAGCCCCCTTTCGTGGCTTTTGTTCTCCAGCCAAGTGTTGAGGCTCTTGCTCCCCTTATTCTAATTGTATGGGCCTCTTAAGACAACAATATGATTTATTAAATAAAGGGTTAATTACAATTTAGTACCCTGTACTTACACCGTTAAGGCATGTTAGTCCCCGTCTTTTCAATTTTTACAATCGCATACCCTTAGTTTGTAAATTTTTTACAATGTGGTTCCGCCGTTAGGGTTTCTGTTAGATCTCTCTGTTAACTGCCTACGTGTCATTGTGGGTTCCACATTTTTTAATTTTAAATATGAATAAAATATTAAAAATCAAAAAATCAAAAAATCAAAAAATCAAAAAATTTCTCTCTCTCTCTCTCTCTCTCTCTCTCTGCGTTCTCTCTCTGCAACGAACCCAGAA